CTCCCTCCCTCCCTCCCTTCCTTCCTTCTCTTTCTTCTTTCATTTTTCTACTATACATACATAGGAATATTTTTATAAAGCACAAAATTTCTTCAAATACACGTTGTAGTCAAAAGGTATATGGTAAGCTATTCTGCTTTATTGGAAGATTTAGTATGTGTTGTTTTGACCAAGTGCAGTTTTAAAAAGAAGAAAAATTAAAAGACTTTTTTAAAGCAAAAACAGTTAAATTCTCATGTGCATTAATTAACCCAGATCAGCTGATGCAGAGGAGCTGCTCTGAGTCCTGTGTTATTATCATCTGTTGTGTTTAAATCATTGTATGATCTGTTCTGTGTTTCCTTGACCTTAATTTTGTGCAAACCTCCCCGCTCCACATCAAAGAAAAAGCAAATTTGCTTAATTGAAGTGAGGTAAGACTTTAAGATTTATTGAAAGGCCATGTGTCTTTAGCAGAGGTTGAGCAGCATTATGGAAGAAAGGAAATCAACTTCCACAGTACAGCCCTGAGCTCTGTGCATGTTGAGATCCTGTGCTTTTTTCCTGAATGACAGTCACTTTAGAACCCATACCTATGCACTATTTGTTTTTAATTTCCTATTTTACACTTGAAAGAATTGTGGACCCATTAAACATACTGGAACTAATAGTGAAGAAAATAAAATGATTGTAATTTCACTTACCAGGGAACAGTTGGATATAACATAGAAAATAAATAATGGCGCAGGAGTAAAGTACCAGCTGAGAAAGCATGGGGCCCTGAGTCTAAACCCCAATATCACCAAAGACAAATAAATAAATATGATTCATATCGGTACACAGTACATACCACACACATAAATGTGAAAGCAGTATAACAAAGTATAAAAGGTGTCCCCACTGTCTGGTATTTCCAATGGTCACCATGTTGTCATGTTGATGGTTCTTCTTTTGTTTGTTTGTTTTCCAGTCATGGGGCATTTGCTTTTCTATCATGGGGCTTGAACCCTGGGCACTGTTCTTGAGCCTCTTTGTGCTCAAGGCTAGCACTCTACCACAGCAC